GACTTATTGTCCACGACATTTTGATCTTGTTCGATGACATTTTGGACTACCATATCGGTGACCTACTGGATTCTATCTCGGTGACATCTGGCGCTGCCTACATCTCCCACCTCCTTCGYCTCTCCTCCCACCTTTCATCTGTGTATGTGTGTACGGGGCCTGAGCATCGTCTATGATTGGCTCAGACCCCACCATCTCACTATTGTTTGTGTGTGGAGTGATATCTGTGTGAGTCAGTCTATGTGAGTCAGTCCAGTTATCAGACTCCCGCTGCATACATGCTCATCCTATATTGGTTGATCTCTTGGTTCTGCCCATACTTGTTGAAGTACTCACAAGTATCCAAGAGTAAGGGAGGTACCAAACACCAAGAAAAGTCAGCAAGCAATACAGGTTTTATGGGGGGATGCACTTCACTTCAATGAACGTTCCGTTGATGAAGCTCCACGGCCACTCCAATGCTCCAACGCAGGAGCAGGTACGTAATCAAGCCACTTCTTCTTCAGCCTACTTCCCCCCTTCGTCAATCTTCTCCCCACTCAACTTTCTCTTATCTCCCCTTCTAGCCAGCCTTAATCGTTGCCAGCGATGTCCAGTGGATGTAACGAGCAACTGCTCTGATACCAGTTTGCTATGAACCGCTTAGTTCATCACCAACGAGTGCACACAATCACACCACATGCATGTGTAAGATCACACGAGATTCACACTGAAGGCCAGAGAGATGAAGACCAAGTAGCGCAGCTTCAGAATTCCAGCAAATTATCATATAAACAATTAAGAGTTCTGGTCACAGGCGCTCAACAGCGCAAACCCAAGTATCCAGAATCTCCACTCAGGTATGTATCTCCCCGAAGCTCTTCTCTCTTCTCCCTCTCTTGGTCTTCTCTCTGTCTTCTACCTCCCTGTATCTCCCTATCTGGATGCACTCACTCTCTCTCTATTACTCAAGGACTAATCTACTAACACATTGCACTGGCGCAGCTATGGCTGCCTTCTCCCTGCCAGTGCTATCTTCCTCTCTCTCTCTCTCTCTCTCTCTCTCTCTCTCTCTCTCTCTCAGCGCAGCACTCTGGCTTCAGCGCTCTGCCCCTCACATTAGCGCACAAGTGCACCAGCACTTCCACACTTCATGCAAATGAGCTCTCTGCCCCAATGAGGAGGCTGGCCCGTCCTTTTGTAGTCTTGGTTTGCACTTCAACTCGTGCTGCTGCTGCTTGGGCCTTTGAGTCATGACTTTTCAATTTTGGCATATGGTTTTGACTGTGGACTGTGACTCCTGCCTCGGGCACACGACTCTTGCCGGTGGAACTGTACTTTTACTCGTGGGATGTGACTCTTCAATATGACTTTTCATTATGTACCATGATTCTTGCGCTTCAGATGTGACTGCTTGCTGGGTGCCTGTTGGACTGGACTGCCGAGGTACCTAACAGTGACTTTTCTGAAATTGACTGACTTCGGCCTTCCGTAGCCAGGACCTCTGACCCTGAGACCCAAATTTGGGGTCTGAATCGTGGAAGGCCTTTCAAATGCCAGATGCTAGAACAGCAAAGCAGCAGTGTGTCCGCATTGCCTGCCAAGGCCAGAATCACTCCCTCTGGGCTGGCCTCTTTCCTTTATGGAAAGTGCAGCCCGTAAGTGTCTGCGAGGGCCTGGCTAGGAAGTTTCCAGTAGCTTCCAGTCGGGCCCCAGTGTCGCGCCCAGGCCCACCTCTACAGTTATGGGCCCGGGCCTCGTGCGGGTAGACACTCTCAGGCAGCCACCGCAGCCTCCAAGTGTTCGCTGCTTCCTCATTGGCTCATGGCCCAAGTGTGCCGACAATGCTGCCTTCTCTTTCGTCCGTGGCCGCTGCGTGATGTGTCGGCCTCACACTGCATGTGCCCAGGGCGCAACCACCCAGGCCCTGGGCTCAACTGTACAGCGCAGCCCATGTTTTTCTGTAAAGAAACTGAGGGCTCACGATTCTCTGTAACCAAACTGGCGTGCTGCAACTGTCTGAGTACCCACATATGGAAAAATGTCGAAATTAGGCTTCACGTGGATATGCAGGCCCACTTTCACTTAGGGCAGGGCTTGCTTGGGGCCTCAGCCCAGATCACATGCATGGCTGACAAGGGCTCCGTAAGGGCTCATTCCTCGCACTGGAGAATGGGGAATTGTCAGACAGCCGGGAGTGCAAGCAGAATTCGATAGGGTTGCCTGGTGGATATTGTCTTGCAATTTGGATGCACATAGAGTTCGGTAACTAGCAGGGTAGAGTAACGATGTTACCAGAGTGAATCTGCTTCAATCTGTGTGTACGTAAGCATCTGCAGGGGTAGCCTACACTATGCAATGCTGTATATGTTCATTGGAATGACCTGGATGATCCTTCCAGTAGTCATATGCTTGTCTCTTGCACATGTAAATGTGAACAAGTTGTAAGGTGAACTGCGAATGTCTCTTTTAAGGAAAGTGTGTTCATTTGAAGGTCACTGTAACCTCAAATGTGCTCAACTGCTCTCTGACTGCAATCTCACCACTAAGATGGTTTCCGCGCGTTTCATGTTGGGTCCCACAGGTTTCTGTCTGAAGTCGATGAAGATCTGCAACGTATGATGGCTGCGGGGTACTGGGCAATACATGATCTTCCTGCTGCTCTTCTCCCACCGGAAGAGCAAGCATTACGATCATCCATTCATCCCCAGGTGCCAATGATCACCATGTCTTCTGCAGCAAAAAAAAAGGGTCACCCCCTGCGCAGATCATCGCAGAAGTCGGTCCGCCTTTCTGTACGCAAGCAACCATCTTACAAGACGGGAGAAGGTGGCAAGGATGATGGTGCAGCATCCGCAAAAGCGGCGGACGGCCATGAAACCGCTGGTATGCAGAATGTATTCACATCTCCTCTGTTCACCTTGGATTTTACTACTCAGGGAACCCCCAAAGGGCATCTCTCATCATCGGAGATGCACAGAGGTGATTCTCAGGCAGAAGAATCACCAGGTCCATCCAGCTCTGCAGATGTTACATCATCAGCACACACACCATCCACTGTACCTGCAGCTGAGCCGGAAGCGCAGGAGTCCTTGCCCGAATATCCACCAACGGTTAGCCAGTCTACACATGAGATCCCTGACGAGGATTTCAACCCCACTACAGCATCAGAACCGTCAACCCCGCAGTCATCAACAGAGGATGATGGGCCCCAGCCAGCTGCAGAGGAACCATCCAATGGCTTGGAACAGGCTACAGGAGACAAGGGTTCCCTACCCCCCTCAGCATCACTGACAGATGAGGCAGGAACACCACAAAGTCCCATCATGGAGGGTAGCAGTTCAGTCGTTCCACCCCAAGCAGACACCCCAACAGGTGAAAGCGGTGATAGGTCAGCGATGCCCCCCCAGCCAGCATCCCAACAGGCTGAAGGAGGGTGGAGTTCATTCCTGCCCATCCCCTCCCCAAAGGCTCTGATGAGTGGCCTGCTTTCTGCGCTCAAGGCCCGAGGTGTTGGTGGAAGCCCAGCTACATCCCCCCGTATACTCTCCGAGGGGCCATCAAGCAGTATAACTCCAAAAGGCACGCGAAAAAGGATGCCTTTCCCCCTCCCAGGCTCCTCTGAGGCCATATCCTCTGATCAAGCTTCCCATCTGACAAAACCGCAAACGAAGTTGAAGATACCAGGTGACAGCTCCACACCTGCAGATTCACAGAAGGGTGCGGCAGATAGCATTGGCTCACCAGGTTCTGGAAAGAAGCTAAGACTGCTAATGCTGGAGATTGGACGCCCAAAGAAATCCAGAGACTTCAAGGGCACACACGACAGGTCCAAAAAGGACCACTCTCCGGAAAAGGGTCCTGAAAAGGGATATGGAGCTGAGGACTCAAACAGCCCAAGGAAGGAGGTCGTGAGCCCAAGGAGCTCAAGTGAGTCAAAGGGTACCGGTGAAGAATCCCAAGAGGGTCACTCTCCGGGCAAGGGACCGGGAACAGGAGATGGACCTGAGGGCTCGAGCAGGCAGGGGTAGGATGCTGTGCACCCAATGAGCTTCAGAAGAGAGTCAGGGTACCGATGAACAACCCCCAAAAGGGTCCCTTCTCGGGCAAGGGACCCAAAAAGGGAGATATGGGGCGGAGGACTCAACCAGCCCGAGGAAGTGCCCAACGAACCTGGCATTGTCAAACAGGTTGCCTGTTGAGGCTGTTAATACCATACTGTTAACGGTGTTATCACCTTGGCGTGCAACCACCACTCATTTTTCGTTGCCAGATCCCGAGCCTGGGCCGGTAACCCAACTAGACCAGAAGGAGGACCGTTTCCAATTTCCACCCCAGCCAAACCTGCACCAGGCCTGTTTTCCGAGCCTGGCTGGGGCCTTCCAGTTACCAACTGGTAATTTTCTTGGTCACTCATCAGGAGTGGTGATTTAAGGCGGTAACCAATAATGTTGAGGCAAAAGATCCTCAGTCTTAGTCTTTCGCTCATGGCATCGTGTTTCTCCGTGGATCATGAACCAGCAGCTGTGCACCAAGCTGATTCCGAAGCATACTGTGTGCTGTGGTGCTTGCCCTGGAGAAGCAACAGGAACTAGAGCTACCGTCCTCACCCGAATCGAATGCAGGGTCATGATCAGTGTACCTAATTGTTGCATGCTGTGCCTGCACACGAGGGCCATTTTCCAGGCCCTGCGTCCCTCAGGCTGAAAGCCTGAAATTCAGGCTAAAAGCCTGAAAACCAGGGCCTACAGGCCCCGTGTCTGTTCAGYCCGAAAGCCTGAAAAACAGGGGCCTACAGACCCTGTGTCGTTTCAGACTAAAAATGGCAATAGCCTTTTTAGCCTGAAACGAAGGGCCATTTTCGGTCGTTCATCAGAACGACCGGCCCTGAAACTCAGGCACCGAACCAGGGTTTCAGGAACAGGCTATTCTTACCCTGTTCCCACGCCAGCCTCAGCAGATGCTGCAGCGCCAGCCCCTGGCACACTTCGGCATTGGCAAGAGCAGCCTCCTCGGCCTGGCTCGCCCTTCAGGCAGTCAGGAGGCAGGCCGAGGTAGTACATAGGGACTTCCCATGCACTTCACGGGTAGGCAGGAGGCAGTAGTCTTCAGGATTCGGCAGCAGCACTCTGGAGGGAGCGCTGCAGGAGTAGTAGTAGCGTTAGCCTTAGTCTTCAGCGCTGGGCGCAGTAGGTAACTGTAGTCTCCAGCGCTGGGCGCCATAGCTAGGATAGCACTAGAGAGAGAGAGAGATTGGGCGGAGGCCAGAGGTACTTACCTGCAGCGCCGTTGCTCCAGCTTCGTCTTCGAGGTACCTGCAGCACAGCGCCAACTTCACAGGTTAGTACCTGGCTCGTAATAGAGAGAGAGAGTTCTTCTTCTTCCTATTCTCAGTCCACCATCTCCCTCTCACCCTCTCATCATCTGACTTCACTGCATCAACAGACTAGAGAAGAGAGAGAGAGCTTGGTGACATTGGATCCAGACTCGACTTTTGGGCTTCAGACATTGCAATGAGGGATTATTTGGGACTTGTGACAAAGACTTGGTGTTGACGACATTCCCATCTCTCCCTCTCCTCTTCGTCTGATCCCCCCCTCTTCGTCTGTGTATGTCTGGACCAGGCGCTTCCTTCTTGTGTACAGCGCCAGGCTCCTTCACACTTTGTGATGGACACGATGTATGTTTGGTCTGTGTTCAAACATTGATTGGGCTAGTCGTTAGCATTCTAGCATTCGGCTTCGCTACCTGATACTACGTGAATGAGGTCAGTCCCGGTCAGGTCAGGATTTGTATCTAAGTCTTCCCTGCGCTATTCAGCACCATTTTGTATGTATCAGAATGCACATTGCTTGTTGAGATTCTACTTGCACTGCATTGTCCATTCAGTCCTTTTCATCACATTGCGGATCCTCGGTTATTATGTACATCGCCCAACTGGGCATGTAACATAATAGACTGAAAGTTGACCCGACCGCCGACCGTTTTGCACCGACCGATCGGGGCCGACCGGTCTGCGGTCCGCCGACCAGTCAGAAAACAACCATCCACTGATTTTTTTTCACATCTGAGTTGGGGACTGTACTGTGCTTGCTGAGTACAGCCCAAATCCGCTAAGAAACTTTTGGGGTTGGGGTGGGAGTATACGGGAGGTATAGAGGGGGTATAGGGGGGTATAGGGCGGGTATAGGGGGTATTGTGGGGGGTAATGAGGGTGTTGGGGGCGGTTTTGGGGTGTATGGGCGTATTGGGTGCAGCTATGGGGGTGTTGGTGGCGTTATTAGGGGTTCTGGACCAAACCCCCCCCCCAAAAAAAAAATAAAAAAAATTGCGGGCTGCCGACGACCCCCGACCGGTAGGTGCCCACCAGGCGACCGGTCGGCGGGCCGGCAGCCGACCAGTCCATGGCCGCCGACCGTCGGCGTGTGCAACACTGCCATGCTTACTATTTGGTTGAAGACACATGGAGATTTACGGAAGGAGTAAAGAGCAGAGAAGAGGGGAAGAGAACAGAAGAGTGAAGTAGAGTAGAGGAGAGGAGAACAGAGATGAGGAACTCTCACCTATTAGTGCGCTACAAGATAACATGGCTGTCAGACCTCTGGGAACCAGACGTATGCTGCATATGTCAGGTGTACATGATATCGCCAAAACAACAAAAGGAAAAAAATGCCCACTACCTTGGCCAGTTGGCATCAACCCAGGTCAGCTTCGGTGTATCATCTAACCACATCAGCATAGGTGGTCCCGCCTATTGGAAGGTGGTAATTGGCCCCGACTGGGACTGTTTTAGCCTCTGAAGTCAGGTTACCATTGTTGCACATTTGCCAGAGATGACCCATGGCTTGGAGCCAGATGTCAATTACTCAAGTCTGATGTGTGACAGCAGTCACAGACAATTTTTCATGCGCGAGCCTGTGTGCATGTAGTTCTCAGTCCATGTAATTCTCAGAGACACCAGCGTGAGGACCTTGCATAGCATGGGTGTCATTAAACCACCAGTACTTCCCAGGCACTTTTCTCCGGGGCTGGCAATGCCCTGTGCGGCGAACAAAAACAAACCGGCGCGGCTGCCAGCCATTTTGCTGTGGAGGCCAACCCCCAAAAGTTGCGCCTGCATGCACGCCGCATATTTTATTCTTTGGCTGGGAAACGTACTGGTGCAGTAACCCTGTTCAGAAGTAGCCTGGGGCTCAGAACTCAGCCCCAGGAAACACAGATCTGAGTTGGTTTGCGCTGGGCTGTGTGACTAAGACACGCCCAGGCCTGAGTCTGTCGAGTGTGGCTGTGTGACCGAACACTGCACACAGGAAATTCAAGAGTCAAAGTCAACTGTAGAGTCAAAGGTACCGCACCCAGGCCTTTGGTTGGATACACTCACTTGTTGTGCGCAGGTACCCAGACAGCATCGAGGGCGGAGGGAATTCGGTTTCAGGCCAATCTGGGCCCTCATTTCGCATTGAGATCTGGACGGCTGAGGGATGCAGCATCCGGGGTCCAGACCCCGCGTCAACACTACATAAGAGTTGACTTCCTGGCTTTGATATTCATTCAGTCTTGCGTCAATGCTGACTTCACGTGTTGACTTTGACGCTAGTGCGACGCTGCGACACTGGCTGGACGCTGGTTCTATGCTGGCATATGAGAAGAGACGGCGACGGGCTGCTGGCTGGCATGGTGGCTGGCTGGCAATTGTCTTCTTGGCATACTGACGTGGCAGCTGCCACGCGCCACCGCTGACGTGGCTGCTGCCACATGTACTCTGACGTGGCGGGGCTACGTGATTGATAGTGCTGTTCTGATTCATCGTCACTCCGTAAGGAGATCAAGACTGTGGGGTTATCGTAGATACGTACCTGGTATCTTGATGTCGACATTCTCCAGTTCGCTGATGAGGACAGGCTGACGTGCCACGTGGCACATTGAGAGAGAACTTCAGATTTACGTTCGGGTTATTGATTATTGAGGTGGCGAGAGAGGAGGGAGCCCGAAGCAGGAGTGGGCATTGTTGATTTTTCTCCTCTCTATCTCCTTCGTCTGTGTATGATTTCCCATCTCATTCTATCTGGACACAATTATGATTATTTGACATTCATCAGCAGGTTGATATCTATATGGGCTGGCATTGTTGACAAGTATCTTCGCCATCTGGGTTCATTGCACTGGTGGTTAATGGTTGACTTCAGAGGGGTGAAGGTTCTGTGGCATTCAGGTCCTTTTAGGGTTTAGAGGGATGTCATTAACGTTTGAGTTCAGAGGGGGCTGCCCACGTATAGATGGCAATGGGAAGTGTTAGAAGCCAATGGTCCTCCCTACGTAGTAGATGTACCTCCACACTTGAGAAGTTACCCGGTATTCCATGCCTCCAATTTGCTGCCTTGTGTCTCAGATAAGTCATTTCCCTGCACAGATCAATGGTTCCCCCTGATATGGATGTTTAGTATGATATAGACTGTATAGTAGGTGAAACCGACTGCAGATCAGGGAATATGGGACGGCCACAGCTGCAGTAGAAGATATGGTTCCAATGTCAGGAACCAGAGGAAGATAGATGGTTTACCACAAGGGAGCTTAACGAAACAGCACCCGGAATAGTCTCTCGTTATGTGCAAGCTCCAAGAGGAATTTGTATCGCTGACAGATTATAAGATCACCAGCAAATGGCACAAAACCTGCTGACCAATCAAATCAATCCCGCAAATGGCACAAAACCTGCTGACCAATCAAATCAATAGAATGAGGAGATAGGGTACCACATTGACCTCATTGCTGGGAAGAGCCCAAACCATCAATACCTCCATCTTTTCAATGATGTGGTATATTGCCTCTATCTGGACTATACCAGACCAAACTATCAAAGAGCTGAACAGTAGAGCCAGAGCATACCTATGGTCAGGTGACCCAAACAAAACGAAGTACATCCCTGAGTAGACAATCTTTCTGATTAGTCATCATCTAGCTCTATTTCATGACCTCAATCACCCACTCTGACATCCTAAATCATCCAAAA